ATCATCCTGAGACAATAGCAACCGCTAGCTCCAATGCAGCTAAAGCTTCCCTACAAGACATCAAACTTGCATTTATGGCTGCTGGACCAGCCACATTGTTTTTATGAACTTATTTTGAATTTAGATTTTAAATATATTTAGTAGCCTTAGCAGCGACGAGCAGTGGGCATTGTTTATTGTCGCATGATGATGACATCATCCATGGTTATCTGATGCTAACGATTTTTAAGTTGTCTATATCTTTATCTAGAGATGACATCACTTTTGGACTCTTTATGAAAATCAAAGAAGAGGAACTTTGTGTTAATGTTATTTTGTGTCTGGGCCAAGTTCTTTATTCACAGGAACAAAATACAGAAATGTCCTCCTAATTTCTCTCATTTTAGAAATGACTTTTATTTGTATTTGAAATCGCTAAAACTTATGAAAAGCCCTAAAGCTCAGAATTTATTTTCCTTAATGAACAATGTTTACCATATTCTAAGGTAAAATTGCATGTCCCTTTGACACTTTTTTTTGTATTTTATTTTTATTTTGCTCCCTTAAAACGTAATAATGTACTGTGTTTATGACTCTAGACCATGTTTGTTTGATCACGATTGTTGATTGTTATTTGCTGTTTCAAATAAAAAAAAAACCTGCAGACAGGAAGTCAGCTACAGACAGGAAGTCAGCTACAGACAGGAAGTTACCTGCAGACAGGAAGTGACTCCCTCTCTCTCTCTCTCTGCAGGTGGAAGGGAAGATCTTGGTGAAGGAAAGCTGAACCATGATGATCCACAGAGGTTGAAGCAGGAACAAAACCAAACTACTTTACTGGGTTTGGCCTTTTAAAATATATTTTCCAGCATTTTATATAGTTTATGGTTGAACATGTATGCTTCAGTTTGTAACCAATTTAAAATCAGTCTTGTATAAAATATATTATCTACAGTATTCATTTCATATGGTTATATATCTTTAATATAAAAACACATTTCATGTCTGGTGTACTCTATGATGACTTGTCAATGTTTAAGGAAGTCTGTGGTTTGTGTTTGACACAACACAATATTTTTAACTGGACAGAGTGATAAATATTCATTCCAGCTGTGTTGCTGTTGAGTTTTTACAGAATACATTTTACTGCTGCCTCTGTAAGAACTAGTTAGGGGATCATTTTAGAGATGTTGACATAATAAATATTTACATTATGACAACACAAGTGTATTATATTGTTTTAACTTTGTCACTATTTTCTGCTTTTAAAAATAAACTATCCAATCCTCACTGGTCTTTTTCTTTTTATTAAAAATTCTCAGTGGAAATAAAATGTGGAGTTGAATTTAAGTGAGCAGAAATAATGACAAACCGGTTGTGTTCTTGAGATGAAAAAACAAATTAGAAAATCATATTTTAATCACCTCCTCAACAGTCCAGTAGATGGCAGTAATGCACCTCTTTAATAAACTGGTCGCAACCAAATCTGAATATGTACATACTGGAGTGCTGCAGTTTAACAGAAATCAGCTGTTCTCTTCTGGTCTGGGCTCTGAAGTCCAACCCCTCCCATCTGTTCACAGCTGGACCTGAATGACAAGTGCAAGCTGCTGGATTCTGGAGCTTCATGGTGAAGTTTGTGTTCTGCTTCTGCCGTTTGGTTAAAATGTTAAAATTCCACACAGTAACTGTTCTATAAGCACTCCTGGTTAAACACTTTGAGAAGACTAAAAAATTAAATGTTGGATTTACTTAACCAAGTTATGTCAACTGGTTCCACTTAACTGAGTTAAGTAAATTCAAAGCAATATACCAGTTTTTTTAACCAAAAGACATGAGTGTGTTGCTTTGAATTTAGTCAACTCGGTTAAGTGGAACCAACATAACATGGTTAAGTAAATCCAACATTTCAYATGGATGTTTTGATGAACTCTTTAAACACATGATGTGACAGTAAACAGTTCTGGATCATCTCATTTTAACTTGTAGTTTGATTTCTGTTCACATCTGGATTATGATTTCAGCCGTAGAACAGTAATGAGGTTTCTCTGACCTTCACAGGATGGAGTCATTTTTCTAATTGAACTGTCAGTTCAGAGAAAAGTGACGCTTGTTTTCTTTGTCAGGACAGATGTTGAGCAGGAGGGAGACTCATCACCACCAGCCCAGGAAATGAGCTTCAACCCAAAATCATCCTGAATCACTTTTGGGTAGGAGGATTTCTTCTGATTTCAGAGCTCTAACTKTCAGATTGATTTATTTTATGCTTCATTTCTGTCTCTATAGGGTTCATATTGTGTAGTTTTTTTGTGCCACCACGAGATGTCGCTTTACTCAAGTTTACCTGATCAACTTCAGGAAGTGAATCAGATCCAAGAGAGAAGAGCAGATCAGAGCTGARAAGAAGTCAGACTAATTCATCTGGTAGCACACAGCCAATGAGGTACGTTATGTTTTACGTCTACATTTTGTTTAAAAGTGTTCAAGATATTTATGTTATTTTGTCTGGAGTTTAAATATTTAGTCTGTGTTGCTTTAGTTTTATATGCTTTGTTGGTTTGAGGAAACCACTTGTGTCCAGACGGGCCTGAAAGCAGGTCTAAGAGGTGGAAAMACAGATCATCTTCTAATAAGTGACCTGATCAACTTACAACAGGTCAAAACTCCACACAGCAAAAAACGTTAAATTATTTTAAACTAACACAAAAAAACCAACACAACTCCTTAACTTTTACCCATGAACATGTATTTTAATACAAGTGGAAACATTGCATGGATTACTTCTCAATATAGATTTTTATGTTTTATTCATTATTAAGTGTCTGTTAGTTGAAGGAGTCAGAAAATGACTGCACAATAAACACAAAATATTAATTTTTAATAAAGTCCCATTTGTTTACATGAAGGGGTGAGACCTAAACCTGGGACCATACCGTGGGAACACTGAGCCCAGACAGTCTCTGAGACCTGATCCAGGACTGTAGACAGTTCTGCTTCTGGTCTGAACAGACTCACACATCAGAACCAGTGCAGACACATCTGTTCTGACTGGTATTTCTGGTTTATCCAACCAAACGTTCCTTTTTCACACGTGACAGAACCAAACGGACCGTCCATCTTCAGCTTCATCTTTATCTTCAAACATTTCAACCTCATCAACATGCAAACACCTGAACAGCCTGAAGTTCTGAAGCAGTTCTGCCCAACATCAAACCAAAAAAAACATGTCCAGAACCAAACAAACCCAGTTTAGAAGAATCTGCTGGATGATTGTGTTGATGCTGAGTCAGACTGGACCAGTGATGGTCCTGCTCTTTCTTCACTTCCTTGTCCCCACAGGTCTGCTCGTTAGCAGACACCTTCACACTCCTGCTCTCGTCTCTCAGGTCCACACCTGGATTAGGACAGCTGTTTCATGTCGTACATCGGTACCTCAGCCTCAGCTTCATCAGCAGCTGCAGCGGCAGCACGAGGGCTGCCTTTACGGCCTTTAGGAGGCGGGACAGGAAGTGCTGCCTCTGCGGCCCCCTCAGCTCCCTCCTGCCCCTCGGCCACAGTCCTCTCCTTCTTCAGGTTCAGCTTTGCCGGGACAGTTTTGAAGGTCTCCTTCAGCTTCTCTCCAGACTGACGGATCTTCTCGCGCCTCTCGGCCGTCACGATCCTCTCCCCCAGCTTGTTGACCTTGGTGCCCAGGTTCTCTCGGGTCTTGCTCATGTTCTCCTTGGAGAAGGTGGCCTTGAAGCTCTCAATGCGGGTCAGTCCGGTCTTCTTCATCCGGCCCACCGACGAGGAGTCCGCCTCCTCCACCACCACGTACTCCTCGTCCGACTCCGGAGGGAAGTCGAACTTGTCTGGTTCCACTTCAGGTCTGGCTGTGGCTCCAGAACTGGACTCTGCCGGCTCGTTTCCTGGTGCGACAGCTTTAACTTCCTGTTCGCCCTGAGGAACAGTGAAGAACACAGCTTAAACCAGAAGTGTCACTAGGTTTTAAGGACAAGGGGGGCTTAGCCCCCAGGAGACGCACAGCATTTTTGTATATTATATATTTGTGTTGTGTGTGTTTTATTGATATATATACAGTATATACA